GATGGGTCCTTTCCACCTCCGGCCTCTCAGGTAGTTCAGCATCCAACTCGTGCTGGAATCCCATAATTAATGCCCTGAGCAGGCAGGTGGAGATCCATCCATCATGTGCTTTGCTGCCTAACCCTAGCAAGGATGCTCCCATCCGCCTCTCATCCCACGGTGGCTTCCCCCAGCTGTAGAGTGAGCTGCGGGGGGCTTTGCACCAGCCACCCCTCCATCTGGCCAACCCACACGGGTCGCTGCAGCAGCTCTGCCCTTCTGTGAGCTCTGCTGCCCCTGGACTGGGCAGAAAGCACAGCATCAGTGGGAAGGTTCACGGCGAGATGGGCAGTGGCAGGCTCGGCGTGGCTGATTAAACTGAAATTGAAAGGGAAAAAAGCACCGTGTCTTTTTGTGAGACAGGAACAGGCAGGTAGGCAGGTAGCTGCTCTGCCCTTTTCTGTAATTGATCTTTAGTGGGAGTGAGAGGAGATTTGGAGCTGAAAGAAGGAGTTTTGCAGCAAGTGCTCTGCTTCCTCTCAAGGTAATCTTCTCCACGAGCGTTAACAGCAATTTTTCTCATCGAAATCAAGTGCTCACAGCAGTGGTTCCCATGGATCCTCTCCGAGCTCTAGTAGCTTTTGCTTCTCCGGAGTATTTTCTGCTCCGGTGGGTGTCAGTCGGGCTGTACCCAAGTGAGAGGCCACCCCGGGTAGTTTGCTGTCTCCCATGCCTGGCAGCCTCGCTGGGTTTTTGCTTTCACCCACCAACTCTGCCTGCAGCAGCACTGCCAGGAGGAGCTCAATAGGAGGGAGGTGCAGGTTTTGGTCCAGCATGGCCCCACAGCTCTTCTAGAGCTCCGTTTTTCTGGGAGAGGCAGCAAAACCGCTTGCGGTGAGTGATGCTGAGTCTCCCAGCACGCTCTCCCTGGCAGCTGCAGCCGGGGAAGACACATCTATGCATCTGGCATGGGAAGGTTGTCCCCAGTGTCCACCACCTCCCCTGGTCCTGCTGGCTCATCTCCTATGGCTTTTGAAATGGGAGTCCAGTTAAAATACCCGAGAGTACTTTTTTTCTTTTCCTTTGGCAGAGTTCACTTCTGCCTCCCTGAATAAAGCTCCTGGACTTCAGGAGGCTGGCTGAGTGGTATTCCTCTGTACTGAGCAGCTGGTTGAGAAACATCTTAGTTTTTCCAGTGTGATCAGTTCACCTGTCACAGAAATACAGGATGGCTGAGGATGGAAGGAATCTCTGGAATTCATCTGGTCCAGCACCCTGCTTGAGCAGGGGCACATAGAACTAGTTCCCCAGGACCGTGTCCAGACAGCTTTTGGATATCTCCAAGGTGGGAGGCTGTCCCTCCCTGGAGATTTGTGCTTCCTTAGAGCTGGCTAACGGGCTGTGTGCACTTTTAACTACCCAAGTTGGAAGACATTGACTTGCATCTGGTTCCAAAGCATGCCCAATTCTGCTTGGTGGCTGCCAAAATCCTCACCGCTGAGGTGAGGTATTGGGACATAGGGATGTGCAAGTGCTGCTGGGGAGGAAAGTGCCTACCTTTTGGTGAAAGCGTACCTCCTTGCAGGGTGGGGAGAAGAGGGAGGAGGTGCAATAGGTTGCAAAGAGGAAAAAACCCAGCAGAACTGGATGTGAGCTGGGAGATTTTGTTGGTAAACCTGAGAGGGAGGCAGAGGCAATGTGCAGGGGTGTCAAGGGCCATCAGAGGGGCTATTTTGCAGTAACTGGTCACAAGAGAGGCAGTGCTGGCCTCTCAAATGCTTGAAGGATTGTTGAAAAGCAAGGGCTCTCTCCTGTGGTGTTCCTCTTCCCCATCAGCCTCCACAGGAGAAGCTGCAGCTCCCTCCTGGTCCGCAGGCTCTCTCCATAACATGCTGCTGTTGCTCTCTCGGGGAGGTGCCGTGGAGGAGAGTGCCCTGCTGAGCCTGCGGCCAAGGGCAGAGGCTGAGATGCTCCATGGGGGCATCTCAGCGTGGCCTCTGCAGCCCATCCCAGAATCCACACCTGGGGGCTGAGCTTAAGGGAGCTGGATTGCCCCAGCCTCTGCGGCGCAGGGTGTCCCGCTGCACAGCTTGCATGCAAGGGAAGTGCTGAGAATGGAAACTCAGCCTGCAGTCCCTTCAGACTCTGGTGGTGTTTCGTGTGGGGTCACTGCTGGCTGCCCGTGGGTGCCTGGTGCACAGCCTTGCTGCTGCTGGAGGAGGAACAAAGGCTCCGGTGATGGGCGATGTGTGGTGGGAAGGGTGTCCCTTGAACCGGGAGCAGCCGTGTACCCTGCCTGGGTGGGAGAGCTGCAGGCAGAGCTCTCCTCTCCTGAGCTGCTCGGCACTCTACTGAATGATTGCTGGGTATAATCACTGTGGGTGTTCAGGACCGTGTTATGTGGTTTCCGGTTAATAACCACAGCAAACACCTGAGGTAGCGACTGTTAGTGAAACCCGTGCAGGCTCTTTAGTCTCTCTGAGGTAAGATGCTTGCTCATACTCTCCAAAGCTGTGGTCTGGTTTTGTCGCTTATGTGTGAGCCTGAAGATAGCGGCAGCGGTAGATGGATGCTTTTACATCAGACAGAGCTCTGACACAGCAGCTTTGCCTCCAACCTCCAACACGGCAGCTGCCTCCCTCCCCTCATTTCTGCCCCATGGTCCCCCTGCTGCCTCCTCCACTACTCCCCTGCCTAATAACACCCCGTAATTCCCTGCTGCATTTGTCGCTTATGTGTGAGCCTGAAGATAGCGGCAGCGGTAGATGGATGCTTTTACATCAGACAGAGCTCTGACACAGCAGCTTTGCCTCCAACCTCCAACACGGCAGCTGCCTCCCTCCCCTCATTTCTGCCCCATGGTCCCCCTGCTGCCTCCTCCACTACTCCCCTGCCTAATAACACCCCGTAATTCCCTGCTGCACAAATAAGGGTGTGTGGATTTGTTTTCCCTCCTTCCCCTACCTCCCTTAGCGCTCCTGCTCCAGCATCCCCTAATGGGTCTTGGTCCTCTGAGCACACTCTTCCTCCTTCCCTCCCTCCTCTTTCAGCAGCCCTCTTGGGCCACCCTTATTCCTCTTCTTGCCAGCATCCCTGTACAGGCAGCTGCAGGCAGCATGATTGTTTTGCTTCTCTGTTTTAGAAAGCAAGCTTCAGGTACCCACAAGAGAGAGCTCTGTGGAGGTTGCTGCCGGTGCTGATGCAGCCGTTGAGTGCAGGTTCCTGTTTGCCCAGAATGATTCTCAGTTCGCTGTTACCTGGTACCTCCTGCCTCATCCAGAAGATGCAACCCCCTTGCAAATCGTAAGGGCCGACTACAGCGGCATACTGGAATACGGGGCTGTGTTCAGCTCTCCTGCACAGAAGTCCCGGTTCCTGAACCAGAGGCTGTCCAGGAATGTTTTCAGGCTGCGGATACTCTCTGCAAACCCCAGGGACCAGGGCAGGTACTACTGTGTGGTAGAGGAATGGCTCTGGCTGTCCAAGAGCTGGTACAAACTTGGAGAGAGCACGTCGGGAGGGACCACGCTGCAGTTCAAGCTCCCAGGTGAGTGGCGGTTCCCCCTTGTATAGTTGCTGCTGGAGAAAACTGGATCCGTTTGACAGGGCTCCCAGCAGACCTCTCCTAAGGTGGCAGGGTGTCGGAGAAGCACCGTCTCCAACGTTGAATCTGAGACTTATGGATGCAGGAGGAGGTGTCAGTGACTCTCAAAGGGAAATAGGAAATTAGGAGGATTTACCACATCCTCCCAAACAAATGCTGGTATTTTTGCCACTGGTAGATGATGCTTCACCACAAAATGAACCGTGGTGTTTCCTTTTTCCTCCCTCCAACACACTGTGTGCTCGGATGTTGTGCAGTGCTGTGGGTAAAGCAGCCCTTTCCTGGTACTCCCAAGCATCCTGGAGCAAGATACAAAGTTTTCCCTACCAGGGAACAAGGCTGAATGCCTAACTGTCACCTTGGGCACTGCACCACTGGGGTTCACTGTGTCTCCTTGGCTTGGTTCTTCCCTCTCTCAGCATGATGTGGCTTATGGTGGCAGCCCTGAAGTGGATCAGAGAACTCAAGCTTCCTAAATAATAGCTTTTGGTCCAAAGGATGCCTTATCACTTACTTGGAGGGGGTGGCAGAGGTTCTTGATCAGGGGGCAGAGGAAACACCCCAGAGAGAGAATGAGTTACAGGAGCAAGGGGGCTGTGGGTGTCCTGCAGAGACTCTTCCCAGTGTCCATCCCAATCCCCCACACTTCGCTCCAGAAAATTTCCATCAGCCTGTGGATGCAGATGGGAATGTTTCTAGGGCAGAGCAACACCACAATGTCTCTTTCTGCTTGCATCCCACCCCAGAGCGTGAGCTGCACCTGGAGAAAGCCAACCACAGCATCTTGGCGAGGGAGGGCGAGGAGGTGACGCTGCACTGCCAGCTGCAGGAAGCCCTCGCGCCTGCCGCCCGCCTCTCCGCCACCTGGTTTTGGGAGCGAGACAGCAACCGCGCCAAGCCCCTGCTCACCCTCCACCACGATGGTGCCATCGAGTACCCACAGGAGAGCCTGGCAGGGAGGCTGCACCTCCGCCGGCACACTGCCGGCGACTTCAGCCTGACGCTGCGCAGGGTGGAGGAAGGCGATGCTGGGCTCTATCACTGCCAGGTGCAGGAGTGGCAGCAGCAGAGCGAGGGGAAGGACTGGGCTCTGCGAGCCTTTGCGCGCTCGGGGTACACCCAGCTCGCCACCACCCCACCAGGTAACGCTGCTGGGTGCCAGGGGCTGCTCACCCCCAACCTGTTCCCCCTTAGCCCTGCTGGGGTGTGGGGTGGGGGAATAAGGGCAGCGCTCGGCTGGTGATGCCAGCTGCAGTGGTGAGGATGCAGCGGGGACTTGCTAAGGGATTGCAGTGGGAGTCAGTGCTGGGGAGATGGTTGGAGTTGTGTTGGGAGCCAGGAGAAGGGAACAGGAGCTCTTAGAGGGACACATGCTATGGCACAGGTCATAGCACTGATTCCCAGTCCCTATTGCCAGTCCTATTGGTCTGCAAGGGCTGAAACCTGGGTGCTTGGCATTGTAAACATTGGAGGTGGCGGTCAGACGAGATACCAAGAGCTCTGACTGTGGGGCCCATGATCTAAAGGGTACTATGGAGTGCGCTCGTGTCAGCAGCACTTTGCTGGCTTGTGGGGTCTCTGCATGTCCATGAGTCCAAACCCTTGCCCTCAGTGTCATTTGGTCCAGAATGTTGGGTTTGGGGGGAAAAAAAATTTGGTGTGATTTTTCTGGCAAGTCCTTCTCCAGTGAGGCCTCTAAAAGCAGCCTCTGACCTCTTTGGGTGCAAAAACAGAGCTGGATTCTGCATATAGGATTTTAAATAATATAAACTTCAGAAAAGCAAAGGCTTTAGTCAGGCCCATGCAGGTTTTTTTAGGGAGGTAACAAGCAGGTTAAACAGTATGTTCCTGTTGCCACTTTGGGGAAATAGAAAGCTCAGATGCACCCACGTGGAAGAAAAAATATGCGCAGTAAAATGAGTCGTGTTGCACCCAGTTGAGAGGATCCGGCCGTTCTCCTCGTGCCCTCAGCCCTGGAGTTGCTATGCCTGAAGCCAGCCTGGGTGCCCACACGGGGCTATGGCTTCTGCAGCAGTTTCCAATGCCAACCGGTATGGAAGGGCTCGGGGGGGCCCTGTGGAGCCCTCCCTTGTGCCTGCTGCTGGCACAGGCAGGCAGGGAGCCTGCTCACATGGCTCTGCACCCACAGCAGAGCTAATCTGGATTTAACTGCACAGGGAGGGACTGACAGCGGTTCGTCCTCCTGCGGTTGTCTGTCACGGCTCCCTCTAGCACTCAGATTTCTCCTTCATCAACTCCCTCTGTCTCTAGTTACCCATTACTGGTGGAGTAACCATTGCTAAAATTGCCCAGTAACTGCTAGGATATTCTCCTCCAATTTTTGTATAAGTGTTTTTTGGCCAAGTAGTTTTCACAAAATTGAAAAAAAATCTCACAAGAGATTAGCTGGGGGTGTGTTTTCTCTCTCTCTCTCTCTCTCTCTCTCTTTTTTAAAATTTTTTTAATTTTTTTTTATTTTGGGAGGTGTATGTGTGTTGCTCCAGTGATGCAGGTATCTCAAAATGCCCCCCTGGCTCACAGATTTCAATGTTTCAGAGTTTTCTGAGGCGTAAGGACATGACCATGTGCACGTATACTCGTAATCAGGACTAACTTCATCTCTAATCCCTGATGCTGATGCTGCCCTTTAGGATACCTCCCTATCCTACAGAGGCATTCACATAGTGGAGGCTTCACCCTGTTTTCCCATGGGAGAGTAAATGCTGCTTCCACCTCTACGGATGGGGTGCAGAGAATCAAAGGCAGAGAGATAAAAGTGGGGAGCTGTCCTGTGGGAGCTGCCGGGGATGGAGCGTGGCTGACATAGGATAGCGGAGAGGCAGATGTCTGGGGGAGACAGGGACCTCCTTGATCTGGTTTCCTCAGCTTTCCTCTCATCCCTCCTTGTTGTGCACTGCAGCCTCTGACAGACCTCTACCTCACCCCACTTTCACTGATGTTGGGCAGGAACCTGGTGGTGAGGGGTATGTGGCTTTTCCTTACTGAGCCCAGCCTGGAATGGCTTAGCTGAAGAGCTGTTCCTGTTGGGATGTTTCAGCTGAACAAGCCGGGGCCTTATCTGACCTCCCAAAACAAGAAATTTAGGCAAATTACCTGCTTTCTCTCCCCCTTCTCCACAGATAGCCTGTATGAATTGCTAAAAATTGGTAGCTGTTGTAGATTGAGGGAAAAGTGATAAGAAGATAACCTAGAGAAAGAGTAGGAGACAAACTCAAACTAGCTCGGGGCCTCACCTACTTCTTTTTCCTTCCTTTTTTCCTCCAGAGTCAACTGTGGTGTCTAAGATCTGCTCATCTCCACCACTGCTGAACTTCATCCTGTACTTACCACTGGTTCTGATCCTTCTCCTGGCCCTTGCTGCGTTCTGCTGGTACTTCAGATTTGGAAGAAACAAGAAGGGCAGCATCACCGAAGACCAGCTGATGGAGCTGCAAGGGCCTGGAGGGGTCAAGAAAACTTAGCTGGTCTGTAAAGGCAGATGTAACTTGAAGGAGTGGAGCTGGGCAGCTGAGGAGGACTGAGTACTTGCAGAGGGGCTTTTTGTTGTTTGGTAGTAGCTCTTGAAATGATTCCTTCAAATTGTGTGCTTACTTTCAGTGGAATGGCGTGGCTTTGAATGACTAAGCAAATAGGGTTTTCGTAATGGGTGTTCCTGTCTCTTAAGATAGGTAGCCACCCGTCTCGCACACTGTTCATCGTGGTGTATTTGAGTATGTGTCCCCACTGCGGGTAGAAGTGGTGTTATTCCTCTACAGGTATAAGGGGAAAACCAGCTCTTTTTGCACTGTGACACAAAAGTATCAAATTGCTACTCATTTTAGGTAAGGTTGGTTTTTTTTTTTTTTTTGGTGTCCAGGCTAAAAACCAGTAGCAGAGCTGGAAATGGAGTATTGGTGTCCCACTAAAGGCACTGCAGTTTCCTTTGCCCACCCTTTGCCGAGGAAGCTCTCAGACACTGCTCTCCCTTCGTTCTGAGAGTGCCTGTGCCCAATGACCATCTTTTCCGAAAGGAAATAGGTCTTTATCCCAAAACTTGTTACAGGAACATGAGACCTGAGTAAGTCTGGATGGGGCTGAAGAAAGCCGAGGTTCCACAGCCATCCACAAAAATCAAATCCTGTTGACCCAATAATGGACTCGCACAGAGTTATGGGTCCCAGAAGGAAGAAGTGGACACCAAGCCATCTTGGAGATGACTGTACAAAGACCATCCAGCTCCTTCCTTTGCTCAGACTGCTGCAGAAGAAGACAGCATCCAGCCCCTCGTGTCTGGGCTGCCTATGGGTCAGGAAGCTGCACGGCTGGGACTTGGTATTAGGCCCGTCCAGGTTGTACCATGTAATAAAAAAGCCATGTGTGTGCTTGTGGGGCAGCTCCGCTGTGCTCTCGGATCTGGCTCAGGCTCACATTTTCAAGGCTGAGGGGTTCTGCTACCTTGAGGGTTGGCTCAGGAGGAAGGAAGGAGTCAAGGGGTGCTCAACCCCCAGTTGTGCAAAGTGGGATGTGACCCCAGGGAGCTGTAAGGTCAGATGTCAGGGCAGTACTCAAAGCACTGTCCTCGGAAAAAAGCAGCCATATGGAAATCATGGTAGTTGCTTATGGACCTGCTTCCTTAGACCAGAGGGAGGGTTGGAGACACCACAGCCCCCATAGATGATCTGTTCAAGTCCTTCACTTTCCTTAAAATTAGAAAAGCTGCCTGCCCTGTATTCCTTGGAGGTGCTTCCATCCCTTTATCCTTGGAAAAACACTTTTTGCGTAAGTTTGAGGACACTTGCCTTGTTCCCCTGTTCAGTCACCTCTGTCCTGGCCGGCTCCAGCTTGCTCAGCCTTTCCCTGCGGGTTGTTTTCTGGACCTCGTGCAACCTTTCCTTTTCCTGCCGTGACCCCAGCCGCCTCTCCTGTGGCATGAGTGCTCAGAGCTCCGCGTGGGGCTCTCTGCAGAGGTTTTCCCCTTGCCTTGTGGGTTATATCCCGTTTACACATCCCAGCGGGATGTTTGATTTTTCCATGTGCATCTGGCACTGTGCTTGGCTCACCATCGGCTGGCTCCTCTCCTGCAGATCTGCTGTCTAGCAAGTTGTTTCTCCACTGTGTGTTCAGGCTGTTGACTTTTCCGATCTAATTGGGGCACCGTTTGCACGGGTCTGTTGAGCAGCTTTCCGCACCAGTTTGCGAAAGATCCTGCTGTCTGTTTGCCTTAGCCCTGTCTCGATAATGCTTTAACTCATGGAACGGTTTCAGCCTGTTTTGACAGAGAAGCAGATGCTCCCAGGACATTAAACTCCCACAGGTTTCACGAGAAGCGTTAGCTGGGTGAAGGGGAGGGGGCAAGTGAGTTGTCCCACCAAAGGAAGGCTGCAGCACGCGCTGCCTGACCAAGCCATATGCTGGCTGCCTGGTGCCCCGCTCGTAATTAGGGGATGCAGAAAGGAGTTGTGGGTGTGTTAGGGCATGGGAATGGAAAGACCATAAAGTGTTATTAATCTGTGCACATAGTTTATTTACCAATTTTGTGCTGTCCGTCTGTGTTTTTGTTGGGTTTGTTTCCATAAGGGTACCTTGGGAGCATATCTCAAGCCTTGGTAAAGTCAAGAATATATGATGCCTACTGCTTACCCCTTCCCACAAGGCCTGCAGCCCCCTCACAGGGGAGATGAGACAGGTCTGACATGCTCTGTTCATGTTTACAACGAACCGGAAGAAGTTTTGTTTCTTTTCTTCATTTTTTGTGTTCCTTTAGGTGCTTGTAAGTACTTTGTGCCTGTATCTCCCTGAGGACTGCCATTAAGAGGATGCAGGGGTTCATTTTCCCCTTTTTAAAATTAATTTTGCCCTTGTCTTAACCCTTGGTGTCTCACACCTCCTCAGGTGTTACTGCAGCAAACCACTGACAAATGGCTTGACAGTCCATTCTTTACATGTCTTAGATGTCAAGACCAGCCTCCTGCTCAAAACCTTAGCTTATTCTGGGTGCTACTCATGACCAGGGGGGTGGCATGGGGCAGCCCTTCCCCTGCTGCAGCGGTCACACGTGTGGGTCAGTATCCCATAAGCCGTGCAAGCCCTTGAGCGACCTGGCTGGGTTTGGTGCCTCCCCCAAGCCTGTGCTGGCCCCTCTTGCTTGGCCACCTCGGCACTCTGTTGCAGGACTTCTGATCTGCACGTAAAAAGCTGCAAACTCTACAGCATCGTGAGGTTTTTGTGGCTGGTAGGCAGGTTTCTCCATCAACCGGACACTTTCCTCTGTCCCCTTTTCACTCAGTTAACCAGAGGCCTATGTAAGCAGCAGCTTTCGGTTCACCCAGGTTTTGAGGTTGTAATTCAAGTGTGTGAAGTTTGCCTAGGGCCTTCATGAAAGGGTCTGCAAGAAGAATGTGTGTTTTTGCAGTGGCAGGGGTTTTTCCTCTTTCTTTCTTTTTTTTTTTTTTTCCCTGACTTACTGGATCACCCCCAAACCTTTTGGCTATATTTTTATATTTTTTTTCCCCATAAGTAAACTTAGAGTTGTAACTTATCACAGTAAAAGCTCCAAACCAGTCCTATTTTTAAGGAGAACATAGTAAGGTAAATGTATGAGAGGGAGAGACACGTGTGTGTGGTAGGTCAGGAGATGGTGTTGATTTTGCTGCCGGGGCTCTTGGCCACCTTCAGCCACCCTCATCGCCACCTTTTTCCCAAGTCCAGCCTCTGATATAAATTAGACCAGCTGATAAAACAGATTTAGCTGTCACAACCTTGTGGAGGAAAACCTGCGGTGTGAGGGCACTGTGCGGTGGGGAGGTCTAGAGTCCTTTCATAGGTCTTAAAGCAGCTTGAAGGGGCTACAGGACAATGCAGAGCTGGGCCCAAGAGGGGTTAATCCACTGGGAAGCGGTTGCACGGGGCTATAGAAACACAACGGTTGTGTTTCTGTAGGAAGATATGGAAACTGTAAAGCAAGGGGAGAGCAGCACTGCCACCCAGGCAAGCGAGCACAGCCCTGCGGCTTGGCAGACCCTCACTGCTCAGAAGATGGGTGATGTGAGAATGGGACAGGTGGGAATATAACCCCTGCATTTCCTTGCCTTCCTGGAATGTTTTTATGGCACCTGCCTTTGGACAGGAGCAAGGCCAGTGCTTAGTGACCACCGGGGTGGCTCGGTCAATGTGCAGTGGGACAAAGGATCACACCAAAGGATCACACCCATCTTTCACCTGAAGATGGGTGCACTGGGGCCTTCTGCTGCAAGGGCCCTGTTGGGGTTTAGCCCCAGTCAGCAACCAAGCACCACACAGCTGCTTGCTCATGTCCCCCCTTCCCCCAGTGGGATGGGGGAGAGAACTTGAGGAAAAAGATAAGGGAACTTGTGAGTTGATATAAGAACGGGTTAATAATTGAAAGTGAAATAATTATCCTAATAATATTAATAATAAGTAATGAAAATACTACTACTACTGCTAACAATCTTTTTTTTTTTTTTTTAAAAAGGGAAGAAAAACAAAATTATACAACTGCTCACCTTTGGCTGACCAGCCTCAGCCTGTCCCTGAGCAATGATTCCCCTTCTGGCCAACTTCCCCCAACTTGGTAATACCAAGCATGGCGTTTGATGGCATGAAATGCCCCTTTGGTCAGTTTGGTCAGCTGTCCAGGCTGTGTCCCTTCCTGGCTTCTTGTAGAGGAGAAGCTGGGAACATGGCCCAGCACCGGAAACTGAAACTTGATATCAACATTGCTTAGCAACAGCTAAAAACAATAGTGTGTTATCAATATTCTTCTCAGCACAGATCCAAAATACAGCCTCGTACTAGCTACTGTGAGGAAAATTAACTCTGTCCCAACCAAAACCAGCACAGCTCCTCTATCCTGCAGGGAGGGAAGGTGGGCGATGAGTTAGTTGCTGTGCAGGAGTGGTGGGAAGTACAAGATGATCCTGGCATCCTCTGGCAGCCCTTGGCTCAGGGTTTCCTGGCCTGCTCTGCTCGCTGGGAGCAGAGGGCACAGCAGCAGTGTGCTGTCCTGTACTGCCAGGGAAAAGTGGTTGAGGAAGGTTGCCAGACTTTCAAGAAATGCTTCCAAACAAGTGACTTGGAGTCCTCCTGGGATATCCCCTCTCAGGCAGCATCTCTTCATTCCTTCCTATTAAGTCTGAGTTGGCTTTGAAACATGACATTCTTTTCTTCTTGTGATAAAATACTTCAAAATTGGCAATAAAAGATGCAGTTTTGATATGTGCTTTGGTTTCAGTTGATGCCATTTTGCATACCAGCTCATTCCTGCAGCCCCTGCTTGTTTTGCATGTCTTTCAGCCTTGGTCTTTGGCACCTAATGTGAAGCAGAGCTGCTCCTAGGACTCTAACCTTCCTCAACCACTAAGAAACTGCCGCATTGTACCTGCCTACTGCTGGCCTTTTGGTCTTTCTCCAATCCTCCACCTCTTCCCTATTTTCTTCCCACAGATAATAGGGAATTACAGCC